TCCTGGCCAAGAATGCAGTCTATATATTTTATGAGTGGACACTATATCATGTAAAATGTGCAAAAGTTAATTAATTAATTGACAGGAGCTACAAAGATAAAAAAAAACCCCAGTTCTCTCTGATGTGCTGTTACAGTGAGAATAGGAGGAAGTTTTAAACCCTCTGGGTGCAACTGAATGACAGTTCTGACCAGATACAAGTTTAATTCGATTTTACCTATATTATTTAATTGTAATTTGTTTGTCCATCATTTTACCTGCTTTTTTAGGGAAGGGAAACAAGAGTTTACTTTTTTTTTTTCCCTTAGGTTTAGTTTTGAAAAGATAGCTAAATAATGATCCAAATAACCATGGTATAAATCTTTTTTGTTAGGGTACATTTTACCATTAGCATTTGGCCTTCCTCTGCAATTATAGTTCATCATGCATAAAAAGTATTTGACAGTCTATTAATTTTCAACTAGAATCCTCCATTATTGTTCACTTGAGTATGCAGTTGAAACTGCTTTGGGATCCAGCCGCTAGTGACCGCTGTCATTAAAGAGAAATTCTAACTTCCACACAACCCTCCCCTTTTTCAGTTGCTCATAACTTTCTCAGATAAATCCTGTCAAGCTGAAAATTTCTGTGCTTGTTCTCAGCCCAATGTCAAATTATTTTGGAAAGCATGAATAAAATCAATTCAGTCATGTGAGTTAAGATAGCATGAAAAATAAACCATGCTATCCCCATCAGCCTTGATTGAAATTTTGAAGCATGCAAATCTCAAAAATGGCTAATTCTATACCCCTGTATCCCATTTCCTTTATAAATCCTCACTGAGGAAAGAAAAATTATTCATGGTTAATGAAAACCAGTTCAGTAGTTGTAAACTTGAGTGTTTAAAGTCATACATTTGTTTAAAAATTCCCTGGGACAAGTAGGTCTGTTGAGTTTAGAACTAATCAGTTCATGGAACAGAGCAGACGTTCAGTCTTTGGCAGGTTCAAAAGGTAATCAATTAATGGTTCCTCAGTAAAGTCCACTGCAACATAAGATTATTTAAGTAAGGCTGTGAGGGCTCCTTCTCCCCACCCTCCCTTTTTCCCTTAAAAATCTTGTAGAGTTATACATAATACCTAACATTAATGCAACATTCAGAAATCAGGATAGTCCACCAGTTATGTATATTTCCATCAATGTCAACTTTGCCACATTCAACACTTACAGAATTTTTATTGCTTTTTCATTAAGTGTAAATATTAATGCAATGTTGTTTTGTTACTTGATATATTACGTAGCATAATATATACAGGATTTGAAAACAGCAAGTCCAGGGATCTATTTCTGCTAGGCTCCATACAAACAAACATGAAAAGCTCATCTCCATCTCAAAGAGCTCACAATCTAAACAACACAAAAGCAAAGAAGATCAAACATCTAAGTGAGTCATGAAAGTGTGGAACAGCAGCTGTCATATTAGTTACATTTTATTTAAATGGAGTGAAGGTAATGGCAAGTGAGAAAGAGTTAACATGATTCAGGGAGGAGAAAAAAGGTAAAAGAAAACCGTTTAGGAGAAGTGAGTGATAGGTGAAGGGAGGGAGGAAAACAGAGGAAGAAGCATGAAAAACTTGGAGGGCAGGGAAAATGAGGATAGCAGAGAAGGACAGTGAGGGGAGGAGAGTGTCACATAATGTATTGCCTTTTCATAGAGGAAAATCTGGAGAGTCTGGATCTTATCTTGCAATAAAACTCATTTGTGTCTTCCTCCTTTCAATGGTAGTGTAAAAGTGATGTTGTAGCTGCCGTGGTCCAGAAATTATGCGAAAGGCAAGGATTTCTTAGGTTGATTTCTTTCATTGGGCTAACTTAGTTGGGATTAAGTTGGATAAGCTTTTGAATGTCTTATGCGAATGCTTGTTTAACTTTATCCAGCTACATAGTTGGTTCATTAAAAGATATCACTGTAAGAAATACATGCCTCTCGCTTTCTTTCTTGTAAACATTGTTGACCTAGGGTGAAGCCCTGCATCCTAGGGCAAAATGAAATATTAAGCTAGAGCTGCTATGAATAAAGACTGAGGAAAGAAAGTAAGGACCTCAGAATCTGGCCTCTTACACTGTTATTATCTGTCCTAATTTCACTATCTTTAATGGAAAACCATTGCTTATAGCAGAAGTAAAACATACATATTCCTCTGTGTATTGGCAGTCATCCGTGGTCTCATTGGCTCGGTACAGACTTTCAAAAAGTACGAGGTGGAATCGATCTAAGTTACGGTGTAGTCTAGATCAGTAATGAACAGAACACACATTCTCCCCTGGGGGAGCGAGAGGGGGGCAAATCTTAGACTGGGTTCTGCCATTCTTAAACCAATCTGTGTGCGCCAAACTTCTGTTCTGTTACAGGTATAGACCAGTTTCTGATCACTTATACCAGTAAAAGTATAATGACTGCACCTGTCCATTAAGATTAACTAACATTCTTATGGTTGCTTGAAATACTCAATTTGTCTTAGAAGCTGGGTTAAAGATATGCAGAAGTAAATTCATTGTAGCAGTGTTTGAGTAGAAAATACTCATATCTACTCATGAGACTTGAGGGTCAATGCATTTAAAATTAATCTCGGAAGCAATAATATGAAAAACAATGTTTGGGACAACAGTTATGACTGGTACAATTGTAATAACTATTAACTGCCTAGCAACTGTTGAAGCAACAATGTGGAATCAGAGCTTCCACTTGTTCAGTAACACCTCTGTTGTCACCTTTGTCCCTTTATGTTTTCTTTGTTTAATGGAATTTGACATTTTCAGCCCCAGGAAACATCTTATATGGTTTCATACCTCCCTACTTAAAAACACTACCATTACCCAAAAACCTGTACACGGGAATGATTAAACAGAAACTGATTTAAAGCACTACCTACCTAAGAACCTGACTAACCTATCTTCAAATTAGTTTGAAGACAGTTGGATCTGAACATGGTTTGAGTCCATATACTATGACTAATATCCCAATTTATAATTGGCCTTGACATGTTTCTCTCCAAAAAAATACCTGTTACCTGGCACTGTACTCCACATATTCATTAAACGAAATAATCATGTTGTATTTGAATTGAATTGTCAAATTAAGCTTGAACACATTCTATTTTAAGAAATTTAATTGCAAAAAAATTATTATTTTTTTGCAGACACTGATTCTCAATATTTTTACAAATCCAAATTGTTAGTACTGATTTTAGTTAGTAGCCCTGCTTCTGTAGGCCCCCCCACAGTGAGGGAGGAAGTGGAGCTGGGGCTGGAGCAAAGGCAGGTGCTGCTCAGCCAGGGCAGAGCATGGGACAGGGTCGCGAGTGGCTCATCCAAGGGGCATGGTGGGTGGTCGTTCCCACTGCTGCACGCACCCTGGGAGGGCATGGTGGTGCACGTGCCCCCAGATCTGCACACAGGGTGGGGCAGGGTGCAAGTCACTGCGGGCTGGGGCAGCAGTGGAATGTGTCCAGCGGGGGTGATGGGCCAGGCTGCGCTGGAACCAGGGGCTGGTGGGGGGTGTGGCAGGGCACTGTTTGTGCCTGCCACTTTAAGGGCCAGAAGACAACAGCCAGCAGGTGACTGGCTAAGGCAGCCATTTTAGATTCAGGGATGCCCATATAAACAGGGCATTTTGCTGCTGGGAGGCAGGCAACAATATTGCCTGGCTGCAGGGCTGCTGGTATCATCTGGAGGTAGGGGAGGAGCTGTAGGGGATGGTCAGGAGGCTCCTGGTCCTGGGCATGACCTAGAACTGCACCCTGCTAGGAGTGGGTGGCCTGGTGGGGCTCCCAGTGGCACAGGAGCCCCAAGGAAATGCCAGACCACTTACCACCCCAGTGAAAGGTGGGTTGGGGTGCCTTAGCCTCTAGCCCCCACAACCAGGTGGGTTACCACCTTTGTAGGGTCTAGAAGGTGGACGAGACAGACCGACAGACCGTAGACTCTTAACCTATCTTGACATCCTCTGACTGGTCCAAGCTGGGGCCAAGACCAGAAGAGTCAAAGGGCCAGGGGCCCACCTCAAGGAACGCCCAAGAGCTGAGGGCCTGGGGTTCCAACTGGCCTGGAGGTGGGCCAGGGCCAGTAGAGCTGAAGGTCCCAGGGAGACCACACCCATAAGGGGGAAGCAGCTCAGGGAGCTACGCAGCCAGGAATGAAGGCAGAATAGGCTGCCTGAATGGAGGGATCTACGTGGGGTCCAACTAGTAGGATTCTGGAGCCCAGTGTGAGGCCGGTGATATGGATAACATCTGGATGCCATCTGCGAGGCTTGGGCTGAGGTGTAGGGGAGGAACGGAGCTGCAGATAGCAGCCCCTGGCATTGGGGCAAGAAATGGGCAGCCTCCCACTTAATCAACATCAATTAATTAATTATCAAGGCATGGTGGGTGAGAAGACAGGCAGCTAGCCCAGAAACAGGTGGGCAGGCCACAGGAAACTCGGCCCCAAGAAGGTCCCCTTTTACAGGGGGTTACGGTGAATTTTGGAGTGGCTGCAGCACCCCCTATAGCTCTCCTCCCAGCGCTGCTACCACCCACCCCGAGTGTAGCCCAGCCCAGCCCCGGCCCCAGCCCGCCCATGCCCCATCTGTAGACCAGGAGGCATGCACTCCCAGGTGCCCAGAAGGGGTACAATTGTTAAAAAAGGTTGAAAACCCCTGACCTAGATGGTTACTGACCTCTAGGTTACGGAGTTAAAGGTTGCTAGGGTTTAAAACCTACATTGTTAGAAAATGCCCTATCCACTCTCTGCATATCTCTGAAGCTGTGCCACTGTGCAGCAGAGTAATCAATCAGACCTTAGATCAGGAACTAGAACCCAGGTCTCCTCCCTCCCAGGTGAGTACCCTACCTATTAGGCTACAAAAAAAAATAGATTATATGTTGTGCACTCAAGTAACTAACATTTAATAAGACATACAAAAAATTAGAACTCTTAGTTCCAAAATGATCCTTTTTATACCAACTGGAAAATGGCAAGAAAACTGTCCTGGGGGAGCTGAAGATGGAAGGCTGTCCGTCTGGGTCCATGAAAGAGTCTTTGAGCTGTGTTGAGTAGCTCTTCGATGTGTTGATCAGGTAGAATTCCTTCCCTGGAGGTGTCAGATGGCAGGCAAGGAGGTTTTTAAAAAACAAAAAAACACCAAACCAACCACTTCCTTCTTATTCTATGATGAAGTTTAAAATCCAAAGTCGGCTAAAATGTGGCATCTTCCATGTTTCAGGGGTGTACTTGGTAGCTGTGTTGGTCTGAGACAAAAAGATATTCCATTTTCCAGTTGGTCTAAAAGGTATCATTTTGGAACCAAGAGTTCTAGTTTTTTGTGTCTTTTTGTCTCAGACCAACATGGCTATCAAGTACTCCCCCGTAACAAATAAGTGATATTTATATTAAAGCTTCTTGTATAGTTAATACTATATCCCTATTCCAAATGCAATGTCAGGTATTTTTTATCTTGTGCAAGAGCATGCCTCCATGAGCAATTATAGTTTCATAGTTTCAGGGTCGGAAGGGACCTAATAGATCTTCTAGCCCGACCCCCCCGCCAGGGCGGGAGAACAACCCAAAAAACACAAACAAAACCACTCACCCTAAAAACAAAAACGGGACTCAAATGAGTCCAGCCAGGTAAGTATCCAGCCTCTTCTTAAAGATCCCCAGGGTAGGGGCCAGCACCACCTCCCTTGGAAGTTGGTTCCAGCTCCTAGCCGCCCTGACTGTGAAGTAGTTTTTTCGGATGTCCAATCTGTACCTCCTCTCCATCAACTTGTGCCCATTATTCCTTGTTATGCCAGCAGGGGCTAGGGGAAACAGCGTCTCCCCCAAACCCTTCTGGTTCCCCCTAGTGAGTTTATAGACGGTCACCAGGTCCCCCCTCAGCCTTCTCTTGTGGAGGCTGAATAGGTTCAAGTCCCGCAGTCTCTCACTGTAGGGTCTGCCCTGTTGTCCCCGGATCATGCGGGTGGCCCTCCTCTGGACCCTCTCCATGTTGTCCACATCCCTCCTGAAATGGGGCGCACAGAACTGGACACAATACTCCAGCTGCGGCCTGACCAGCGTCGCATAGAGGGGGAGGATCACCTCCCTGGCTCTACTCGAGATGCACCTGTGGATGCACGACAAGGTCCGGTTAGCCCTGCCAACCATGACCTCGCATTGTCGGCCCATGTTCATCTTGGAGTCAATAATGACACCAAGATCCCTTTCCGCCTCCGTGCTCTCAAGTAGGGAGCTCCCCATCGTATAAGTGTGCTGCTGGTTCCTACTACCCAAGTGCAGCACCCTGCACTTGTCCGTATTGAAACGCATCCTGTTCCTGTCCGCCCACCCCTGTAACCTATCCAGATCCTTCTGCAATAATCTATAATCTAATAATTATAATCTAATTAAAGTCATTAATGTTTATACCCTAGGGAAATGCTCACTTATTCATAGACATCTAAGTTTCTCCCATCTTCACTATAATTTATGCTTTGTTGAACACTTCTGAGAATTTCCAGGAGCTATTTCCATGCTACCCTGAAGCAGAGTAGTAGCCTATGGAAGTGCTTTCAGTGCTTTCATAAAATTGAACACACTGAATAAAAGCAAGTCATATATTTATTGACAGTATCAGAACTGAAGTCACAACTTTTGTAGCCAGACTTTATTAGGGTTCCTCTTACACCATCAGGTGTTAAAGATTTTTGTATCATAAATGATGGATTAATCAGAATGTATCACTCCCTGTAGCTTTAAAAATTAAACATAAGAAACAGGTGGTCCTGAGAATGTTAATTTACTGGTGACTTAAAAATCTTAGCACAAGTAGTTATGATACTATAATGCTTGTATTAACAAGTTATCCTTTTTGAGTAGGAAGAAAAGTATAGAAGGTTGGGAATTTTACAATAAAAAGATTAATGACTGAGCAGTTGAAAATTATTTTACATAAAATCATTTTATATAATATGCCTCCATCCTCTGAAAGGATCACATTTCATGAAATGTTAAGGTTTGTTTTTCAAAAACCCTCTCTACTATGATATAAGCCAAAAAATCCCCCAACAAAACCCTAAAATAATGATGGTATCTCACTGATTTCAGCAGCTAGTCATAGTTTTTCCATCGGCCAAATTCTGGGGACTTACCTGACCTGACAAATCCTGGGCAATTCTGTTCTGCCAAAGCAGCTGTTTAGCCAGAGTGCAGCCTATAAAATATGCTCAGCAGCCAGGCATGGGCTATTCTGAATCCCGCATTACATACCAAAGTCTACTGTTAACTTGCTATGTACCCATCATTTAGACATGCAAAGAGAAAATAGAATCTGGCCATAATGGCATTATGCCAAACTCCGGTGTGATGCTTGCTCCATTTTATCTGCAGATCCTTCCACACAAAGGCTCAAAGTCTAAGGAGAGTCTTTAACAACAAGGGTGTCAAATGTATGGCTTGCAGGCCAGATCCAGCTCATGGAGCCCCACTGTCTGGCCCTGGGTGCAGCCCCTAGGTCTAAACAGACCCAAACAGGCCACAGTGCACACCAGACCAGCCCCACAGGCAGGGTTTGGGATACGTACTCACACAGTGGCAGCTCCAGGACTGCCCTACAAGCTCCCAGCCAAATGTCACTGCACACCCACCTGTTCCAGCCACTCTGGAATCCATGCTACATGCAGCATGGGTTTCAGAGCAGCTGGAACAAGTGCTGGATCAACTATGCTAGTGTAAGGAGGAAGAAGGATGGAAGAAGGGAGGAAGTTTGTGGGCCTGATCCAGTCCATGGACCAGCCACACCTAGAAGAGTTTGACATCACTGTTTTACAACACCTTCCAACCCTAATAACTATGAAACACTGTACTCTCCATTATCCCTCTTTCTGGAAAAAATTCTTTTAGAAAGGATTGGTACCATCATTCAGTAGAGCATTTATGGATTTAAGCACATGCTTAACTTGAAATAAATGGGATTTATGCACATTCTAAGTTGAGCACATGTTGAAGTGCCATCCTGAACATGGAGGGATTTATGCACACATTTAGCCTTCTTCCTGAACCAATAGGGTTCTATAGAAATTACTCTAAATACCTGTAAAAAAAAAAAAAAAAAAAAAAACCAAAAAAAAAAACCAAAGCAGCTGCAGCAGCTTTCTGTGGGCTTTTAAACTAAAGTATTCAGTGGGAGGGATATACTTTATGATGCTTTTGAAGCAGATATAAAAATATCTCCAAAAAGGGAAAATAATGCAGTACTTTCCATAGAGATCTCTTTTCTTAGTGCTGCTTCAGCTGGCATTATAGGAAGATGGCAGAGCTAAAATAACGTAAGATTTTATTATGCATTGACTTTTTCAAAATGTGTATACATGGCACATAGTTTGGAACAACTAAGCTGGGGTATTTTCTCATCTTAAGTACCCAGATGAGCATTTAAGTGCCAAAATAGACTTTTAAGTCCCAACTGTATAAGCTCATTTGAATGCCAGGTTTGAACAGGGGCAATCTAAGTTAGATACCCAAATTTAAAAATTCTGCTCTGAATATTAATTTTTTACTTTAAGCTCCCAATGCAACTGCACAGCACCAGCATACGCGTCAAGCTCTATGCTATTCAGTGATTTTTTGGAATACTTTTACATCTTGGAAAATGGATGTTTGATTAATTTCTATATGCGAATGTGAGTTCTCCTGTGAACTATTCAAGTGTTGAGTTTAATTGAGCTACAGCTGGTGCTGGCTGCGTGTGCAGAGAGTAGGGATTTACTGACTGATTGACTGTCTCTACCTTTTAACCTGGATGAAGATGCGTGCATGAAGAGGTGACATTTGCTGCTCATACAATACTACGGGAAGGGTAGCTATAAAAGAGAAGGGCAATAAACTGACTAGGCTTAAGTGCACAAGGAATCAAATGGCTTATGCAGACAGAAAAAAAAAGTAGGCACACCAGTTAAATTACGTTAAACCAAGGATTTTATTCTTAGATCTCCAATTCTACTTGAACAGAGTGAAAAAATGACAGAACAAACAAGCGTTAATATTCCAATGACAATGCAGGCCTTCTTTGGAGAGCCAGAATAAATTAAAGACACTCACTTTTAAAGCCTGCCAGCTGACAAGAACTTAGATCCATTGTAACCACAGCCAGTCACAGCTGTTCAAGTGACATCAAACAAGGAGGGCTAGGGAAAAGGGAAATAAGGAAAGGTTATTGAAAAAAACAAAACAAAACAAAAACGAGAGAGTTTAAAACCAACTATAAAAGGAAGCAAGGAAACTGTTCTGTTTTGTTATTTTGTTTAAAGGAAAATCAGAAAGGATTTAAAATCCTATGGCTTTCCCTCATGCCCCATCCCAAGCAAGATGATGGTGGCAGCACTACCATAGATCACTGGCACAGGGTCAGATTCTTTTTCCCTTACTCATGCCGAGTATTTCTGAATGGTCTCATGGAGAAGAAACAAGTAAGGAAGATAGGATGGAGCCCAGTGTGGCTTGTCTTGCAAGAATGCAAGACACCAAATGACTTTTGAGTTAGGCAAAGGAATAACTGGAAATGAAATAAGGGAAATTCAAAGTAGGAATAAAGTGCACATTTGTAAGAGTGAGGAACGTGTAGTGGCTTTCTGTCACTTTTAATCTTTAAAGCAGGAAGATGCTTTTTCTAAAAGATATGCTGAAGCTCAACAGAAGTTATGGACATGATGCCAGTGCTGAAGAAATTGCATGATTGGTGCTATGTAGATCAGATCAGACTGTTACAATGGTCCCTTCTGACCTTAAAATCTTTGGGTGGCTTTATACGTGCTCTGGAGCGAGGAAGGGCACTTTAATTAGAGTGGGTCTTGGGAGCCCCTCCAATTAAAGTGCCTGCAACGTCTTATGTATTCAGCATCCCACGCTTCAACATTGTGACGGGGGTGCTTTAAGTAAAGCTTGTTCAATGCACTGTTAGGGGTTGGGGGTGCTGGGGGCTTGGGACATATGTAGGGTGCCTTATGATTCTATGAAGTAAGGAGGCTGCTCATGTCTACTTGTTTCTCTGAGCAATGCACATCTGCCCCCGAATTGAGAGTTTATACACTGTGCTCCTAACCAGGAAATCAGGTGAACTATTTTACTTCCAGCCTGAGGTTCTCACATCTATCCTTTCTCCTCTGACCTGGAGCAGATTTCATGAAAGATGTTAGGTACTGAAAACAGACTGAAAAATATCAGTGAACAAACATATTCTCAATAGTCATAGGGTGACCACCCATCCCAAATTGGGCAGGACAGCCCCAGAATGGGAACCTCAAGTCTCAATACTGGGCTGCACAACTCCAAAACTGCATTTGTCCCAGATTTGTAGTGTCATGCAGGGATCCATGGCAAACAAAGGGTTTCCCCTTGCAGGCTGGCAACATTCCAGCCTACAAGGGGCTGCTGAAAGCAGGATGCAGAAGACACCATGTGCATGTACAAGTTGGCACACATGCACATGTCCAGGAATACAGCCAGGCAGTCCAGAGAGCAGCTCCCTGCAGATAAGGCTATGGGGGGGGCAGGGAACATAGCAGGGCACATCAAAGCCCCTACAGTGAGGGAGGGAGTAGAGCAGGGGCAGGGGTGCTGCTCAGCCAGGGCAGTGCATGTAGCTGGAGCACTGAGCAGGATGGAGCCACAGGCAGCTCATCCAAGGGGCAGGGGGCATGAGAGGACACGTGCCCCCCAGATTTGTGCACAGGGTGGGGGCAGATGTGGTTCCCATAGGGCTTGGGGTTCCCTGCCCTGCTGACCTCCCCCAAGGACCCCACGCTGGCCTTGCTGCCGTGGCAAGGCACCCCCTGGCTGCCCAGTAGCAGCTGGGACAGGGGTGGCATGGAGTTGTACCCCCCATGACTGCCAGGTGGGCAGGAGGCACATGGCCAGTACAGGGCTCCTGGTAGAAAGGCAGCAGGGTGGGAAGCACCAAGCCCATAGTGGGCATCTGCCCCTGCTCTGCTCTGGTCCAGCCATGCCGCTGGAGGTGGGGGGAAAGCAGGCATGTGTCCCACCTTTCCCTTTTGAAGAGGTGGTTATGCTAAATGGTCACATCCTACCAAACACTGAGAGTCAAGATGGCAGTCATTCAAAGTGAACTAACAATACAAAAATAAACAAAGACAGCAAAAGGAACTACAAGTATTATTACTTTTTATAAAGAAAGTAACCAAATATTTATTTAAGAAGAGAAATATTATAAAGATAGAGGCTAAATGGACATGGAGGGAATGTCTAAGTTTGGCCTTCTCGCATCCTTTTTTTCCAGCATGACCAATGTCCCTAAACTGGAATAAGTTGAGAGGCAAGGCTGTAGGAAGGGTGATGAGCAGAGGTAAAAAATTATGAAAATAAGTATTCCAGTAACACTTTTTCAGCAACAAATTAATAGATAGCAAAGGCATAATCACCAGAGTCCTTGAGCTGAGTGGCAGTGGTGACAGAGGCCAGGCTGGCTGTGGCAGCTGCTGCAGCTGCTTTACTTGAACTCCCTCTAAGTAGGCACCTAGGGCTAGTGCCCTAGGCCATGTGTAGATGAAATGAGAGGCGTGTGTGCATGAATGACACTTTAAAGTGGGCTAAATGCTTTAGCACTGCTTTAATGGTGACAGTGTTTGCACGCCTTGGCGGCATATTGCGCATTAAATCTAGCCACTGCAGGAAATTTGGTGGCGTAATGCACCTTAAATGACTTGGGGTGCAGCAAACTAGAACTTCAAGAAGCCATGGAGCAAGCTCCACAACTCTGCAGGAAGCTCTGCAGGTAGCCTGGCAGTAGCCAGGAAAGCAGCTCTGCCCAAGAAAAGGGGTGAGCCTGATCTTTTTTCTCTCTTTTTTCCCCCTGGATCCTGCCTGAGATGCTCAGGGGCCTGGTGCTTCCCCGTGAGCCAGGTGCCTGCGGGTGGGTGCTGCCACTGTGGTGGAGGGAAGTACCAGCCCCCCTGCATCCCAGAAGCCATTCTTCCCACTGGCAGCTTGCCCTCCCCTTCCCACTGCAGAGGCAGGTAAGTCAGCAGTGTGTGTGCACAACACAGGGGGTTAATCAGCACTAAATTGAAGCAGTGTTTTTTAAAAACCCACTGCTTCAATTTAGAGCCCCTGTTTTGTCTACACACGCCCCTAGTTGCTCACCCCTTGTTATGCTACTGATACACAGAATTTATGAGTAAGGAGTATATTTTAAACATCAGGAAATAATTAAATTGTACTCCTGCAAAATATAAAAGGTAAACTTGCTCTTCATAATTGTGCACCTCAGTTACTGAAAGTATTTACAATACGTTTCAGTTTTTCACAACTAGCAACAGAAGACAGCCTTTGCCCTCAGCAGACAAGACCTTTACTTCTCCTGTGCCGAGTAATTAAAACCAGGACTGTAAAAACTCCGATTCCTCAAAGGATTTGTTAAAATCACCAATTCTTAGCTTTCCCCCCACATCTACTATTTATAAACCCTTCCTTTGAGACTTTATGCAGGTTGCTCGTAAAGGGCATTCAATTTGTAGAGTCATTTAGCTCCACCTAGTGACAATTTCTGAAACTACCATTGAGCAACTGAACTCAAAACAATATGAACATATTCTGGACACTAAACCAGTCCAATAAAATTACTGTTTCACTGTGTCTCTAAGTCAAACAATTCTTGCCTATAAAACAGGTTATTTTCATTCTGATTTAGCTCTCTATCACAGAGAAACACTAAACTGCTGGAATGAGATTCTTACTGGCCAACTGCTGCTGGCTAATACTAATAATTTATTTTACAAAAGCATTCAAAGAATTAGCAGCAAGCACAATAATATATCTGGAACTAATACAAACAGGTACAAGTTATTTTCTTGAGTTCTTCTGGCTCCTAGAAGCAGCAGTTAGGTGACAGGTATTGGGCAACAGAAAGAATGACTGTGGCCACAGAGATGCGCACTGCCTACAGATATGACATTGTACACCAGAACGTCTCAAAGCAAAACACAGGTGTGTACAGACACACAATCACCAGTGTGGGTACCATAATATCTAGTCTGCAAAACATTGTGAAAACAAGAATAAGGTGCATTCATAACACCCTAGAATGAGATTGTGGACTTTACAGAATGCTAAACAGTTAGAAAGGGAAGTTGTCCCAGCAGCACCTCCCACTGCTGTTGCCTGTACCAGGTATGTGGATCAAATTATAGGATTCTGGGTATATGCTGAGGTATGAAACTAGTACAATCTTATGTTAGTACTTGACACATTTAAATATCTTGATTCCCAAGCTTGTTGTGAGGTTTACCTCATGCAATTTTCTTTATCACCATTATTGCTTACATTTATATATGTTTGGTAAAGCAGGCTGGGGAACAGAAAGGGTTATGTCTCGTTTAAATGTGATGAACTATTAGCAGATAGTTGATTAGCAGCATTTAAATCCAACAAAAAACATACAGCCGAGATCTACTATTTGTGTATCCCCTTTCTGCCCTATGCACACACAAAATATGGCTTCATACACTATAGAGGGAGACAATTAATCTCCAGGGTATTCAAGTTCTATCATGCTCACCAGCATGGATGCCATGGAAGTGTGTATGAAGAAGTAGACAAGTACAGATTTGTACCATGCCGTGATATTACACAAAGGAAAAAGTTGAGGTGTATGTCACGGGATGGGGTCCTCAAGGATGGCAGTGTTACCCCTAGGGCTCCTTGACCATGCCAATGTGGCCCGATGGGCACCGTCTATTCTCACCCACCACGTCTTGATGGATTTATGATATAGGGAAGCTGCATTCACGTCCCATTGGACACGGTCCTGATGGATTTCCTTGACCCTGTGGGTTCCCGGACCCCTTGTGGGTCCCATTCCAAAATAGAAGTCATGGGACACCCCAGCCTTATAGGTTATATACATGGCTCCAACCACCCCTTTACCATGCCTCAAGCCTCACAGATGGCACGAACATTGTCCTATCTAGGCCTTGCTGTGATTGGCCCCCCTTGTCCTCTCTGGTGCCTGGGCTCTCTGCAGCCCCATCGCTGTGCCTCTCTGGCACCTGGGCTCTCCGCAGCCCGTTGCCATGCCCTCTCCGGCACCAGGGTCTGTGCACCCCAAATGCTGCACCCTCCCTGGTGCCAGGGTCCCCATGCTGCCATGGGCCCCCAAAGGGGCCTCCTCATTCCCTAAATAGCCTCACCCAAACCACCAGTGGTATGCAAAAGCAAGCAAAACATAAGCCCCTGGGCTATAACATACTACAAAAAAATCAGGGTGTGCTCTGACCCTTTAAAAGGATCAGGTTTCATCCCCGGCACTAAGTGTCTAGTAGGCAAGGGTACCTGTAGAGCTCATGGAGCCCCCTTAGCCCTAGGTGCAGCATACCAGGCAGTTGCAACACCACTAGGCACATCCTACTTGGAGACTCCTTCCCCTCTGGCTGCTAGCAGGGAACTGCCTTCCTCACCTCAGCCCTGGGGTTTATATATGAGCAAGGCACTGCCCCTTCTGGTCAGCTGACTGCTGGCAGGTGTGGGCCAACTAACTAATTCTGGCTGCCCTGGTAACCAGCAGCTGGGGCTCCTCACTCACTGCTAGTGCTCTCTCCCTAGCAGTTTCAGCCCTTTAAAGGAGCAGGGCAACTAAGTGCTCTGCGACAGTGCATAAATAGGATAATTGTACAAGTCACCTTTGGCCCTGTGTTTGTCTTCTTAGAAGGTCATACTGGTATTCTTCCTCTTGCATATGTACTTTTGTTTGGATCTTCCATAAATCTATTTCATTGCAGGCAGGAGAGTGGACAGGAGGAAGAAAGGAAGGAATTTCCTCTTTGAATTTAAATCCTAAGGAAAGAAACAGATTTTCTCTCACTTCATTTCCAACAGAATTCTTTTCCTTGTCCTTTCAGATACCTGCTCACATGAATTTAAAAAGGGAAGTTGCAGATGATGAGGTGCATCATCACACATAAAACAACATATATTTTTCTCCAGTTAAAAATAAACTAGAAGTTTTCCTAATATGCTAGGGGCCTAGGCCTGTGTTATTCAGTTTAAGATTGAAGCAAAAAGAAATATATCTTCATTGGAATGAGTTAAAAACAATTTGCAGGGCTGTGAAATAGGAGCTTCATTACTAGGAGCAGCTAACAGGCAGCAGAGTTGCAGAACAAAGGATAGCTTGATTGGTGGAACATTAAGAAGAGAAGGTCATTAACTCCTGTGGAATGAAAAATTTAGAAGGGATCAGGTAGATTATGAGTCATGAAGTCAACTGACTCCCTCAGCACTGCCTGACTGACTAGAAATGCTGCTGCCACTACCAGGAATTTGGTTTTCAACGGGTAAAGCAG